AATTTGGGCCCAAATGGGTTAACAGGATTGGGCTGATTAATTTTTGTATATAAGTAGCTAAATTTGTAGAAGCGCGTGCATCATTTTCTATTGATGCAGCTAAAAGTAATTAAATTTTCTATTGGAAGATGTTTATAAAATTGGTTTTTTAGTTCTTCATTTAATCCCAAAACTAATAAATTTTTTTTAATTCAGTTTATTTAAATTTAAATGCCAAAATCCAAATCAGAATTAATACGCTTGGAAAGTATGGCGTAAAAAGAATTGTTTGTCATCTTATTAATAAATAATTAAAAAGTAACAAATGCATAATTGTGGTGAAATATCCTCATTTTAAAAGCCACGAGCCAGATAAAAGCGCCTGATTCACTATACAAAGTAACTTCAATTTAATTTTAACTTTGGTTACCTGCAATAATAGGTCATATTTATTAATTAAGTATCAATGCTTGAAATATTTTCCTTCTTCGATAAAAGCGGCTTATTTCTTTCGCTTTTGTCTTCTTTTCTTCTTCTTTCTTTCTTTCTTTTTTTCTATGTTTTTTTCGATAAATTTCAAATAAATTGAAAGATGGCCATAATTGAAGAAGAAATTGTTAAGGATTAGAAACTCCAATTATATACCATAAAAGCAATAACATCACTAGCATAAAAAATATATAAAATTAATAGAGATTCAACTCAAGTTGAGATTACGTTATTTTCCTTCGTTGCTCTAATCCATTATAATGAAAAAAATTACAAGACAAAAAATAGACACCCTCTTTTCTCTAATATTTCTCTTTTTGATGATAATATAAAACATTAATGACGGCTCCGTATTTATAGGACAAATTAGAGCAAAATCGAAATTACAAGTGTAAAGTTTCTAAACTATTTTTAATGCAACCATCTAAAAGTATTCACGATATGGCTCAAATCGGACCCCAACAATAATGATCCGAGAATCAATGGGATCGAGAAGATTTCATAATGTTATATCTAGCTCATTGCAATAATTTGTAAGTCGCAATTTAATTTTCAAAAGATTCCATTTTAAATATTATCGTATATTTAAAAAAATCATACGCACGTTATGCACACTGACTCAACTAGTTGAAATATGACAATCATATTACACTTATCATGCGTATGATATTTAGTCATTGCTAGTTGCTAGCCGATGCCAGTCAAATTTTTGCCCAAACTACATTCAGCCAAGACAATAAACTTTCATTAGAAAAATAATTAGAACTACACGCATCAGTACTATTGAGACAAAAACTATGAATACTGCATCTTTGCCTCTTCATATGTAACTTCCAGTTTTGATTCAAATTCTAGATTTGAGTCTAAAAATCCCTTTCCAAAAGTCCATAATCTTGTGAAAATTGTTCATTGGAACAGTGTTTTAGGGCCTTTGAAGATGTCCACTACCCCACAACGAGGAGCCATCATTTTTGACACCGTACCACAATCTAAAACTCCAGTGACCTCAAGGTTGTATTTGAGTTGATAGGTCATGATTGCAGACTCCAATTCTTCGTCGAATTCATCATTCTTGTTATGATTAAGAGGGAGATAACCGAACTCGTTGATATATTTCATGACTTGATAGAGTCCTTTGATGTTATCACCCTTTTTAGAACCTTGGAAGTTTTTGAGACTCGAGAAATCGGACGGGACTGCGGTCAACTCATACATGTACGTGAGAGTGCGGGATAGAGTAAGGGGGACAAGGAAAAGAAGGAAGAAGGATAAGGAAAAACCAAGACGAACAATGGCTGCCATGATCAGAATTGTTGCTAATCGTTACTTTATTTATACTGTAAATTATGTTCCAATTTAGGGAAGAAAATTATGGAAATATTGGTGGAAAATCCATTGGATAGTATGCAGGGGCGGACCTGGGGGGGCAGGTGGCCCCCCACCCCCCAAAAAAAAAATTTTTATTGAATTTTTTTTTTTTAAATATGAAAGGAAAATGAATCA